AGCAAGAGAGAAAGCCACAGGATTCCCCAGTAGTCTGGTGATTACACAGTCAATGTGAATTTTGAAGTGAAGGATATAGAATTTGTTTTTTTTTTCTTAAACAGATTTAATTTCAGAACTTTTTGGCTAAGTATCTCTTGGATTTATTAATTTACTTATTTTGGCTTTGGGCCACAGTCAGCAATATCAGGGGTTACTCCTGGCTATGTATTGAGGAATTACTCATGGTAGTGCTGGGGGGACCCTACGGGATGCTGGAATATAACTTGTGTTGGCCATGTGCAAGACAAATACCTTACTCACTGTACTATCTCTTTGGCTTGTGTTTTTATCATGATGATGATGATGATGATGATGTTTGGGGCCCACACAAATGGTGCTTAGGGTTTATAGTCCTGGCTCAGAAATCACACCTGGAAGTGCTTCAGAGACCATATAGGATGCTGAGGTTCAGACTTGGGTCAACAACATGGAAGGCAAGTGTCTTACCCGCTATACTATGGCTCCAGCCCCAATATTTCCTGGATTTAGAGTGATACAATGGAAAATGTAGTGTCATGCAAGCTGAAGCAAACAAGTAACTAGGTAAGTTTTAAATATTACTAGAACCGTATAAATCCCAGGTAAGAAAATTATGCTAGGACAATTCAAAATAAATAAATATGTGGAACAACTTGCCATTTAGCATACTGGAGTCAGTGCCTCTAAACTCTAATACCACACCTATAAAAACACAAATTTTGGGTAAGAACACATATGTATACTTCATTAAAGAGAAGCCTTTATATAAATAAAGCCTAGGAAAGCATTTGGATGTGAAATATGTGACAATAATCTATTTGTGGCACCTGGACAAGACTTAAGAAGAGAGATACAAACTGGAAAGAAAGATATCAGAGACAACTGAAAAGGCCTTTGAAGCAGATTGCTTGGAAGTCGTAAGGGGAGTGAGGCACTGTGTATATGTTATTTAAAATCTTATGCTGCTTATGTGTTGTTCATTATCTTCCATACTTAAATGAAATTTTCTAAAGGGCAAAAGTTGCTGTGACTATTTTCCCACTGATGAACTTATACCAAGAGTAAAATAGTTCCTGGTACAGAAAGGGATCAATAAGTGAATAAAATGGAAACTTAACATACTAAAATCAGTACTTTCCATCCTCCTACCCACACCTGTCATCCATGGCAAATCTTTCCCTGTTGTTTCATTTGATCATTTATCCCACATAGTTAATGACAACTCCAGTTTGACCTAGTTCCTGGGCCAATAACTTCCAATTTTACTTTCATTCATCATTCATACCCTCATACAAACAACAAACTGATCAACTCTGTACTTAGATGCAACCCAGTTCATATTTTTTGTTCCCATATCCTCTACTGCCTTTGTCTAAATCACTATAATTGTAAAACTTTTTTCTCAGTCTCTTAACCCTGCTATTATCTCTTCTCAATTTCACATATTACACACACACACACACACACACACACACACACTTTTTTAATTTGTTTTGGTTTGGAGTCACACCTGGGTTTACTCCAGGGTTTACTCCAGCCTCTATGCTCAAAGATCACTCCTGGGGACCATTTGTGGTGTCAGGGATAGAATTTGGGTCAGTCATCTACTAGATAAGCACCCTACATACTCTACTATCTCTCTGACTCCTGGAAGATTATCTTTTATAATTAAATATTGCATTAATTACTTCCTTGCTCAAATCCTCTAATGGAATTTTTGTCAAATTCAGAAATGAGGCAGAAGTTCTTATAAGGCCACGGGTAGTTGCTGGTACTCACTTCAGCCTCACAACCCCTCTTCCTTCTCGCTCACTGTGTTCAGACTCACTGGACTCTTGCTTATCTAGCAACATGAAACATACTATGGGACCTTTGCATTCACTGCTCCAGCCTGGCTTTCTTCTCTGATAAATCCGTACTATTTCCTGCTTCCTTCAGTTGCTGCACAAAAGCCATCTCCACTGAAGGACTGATGGCCATTTATACCACCTTCATCATGACTTGCTCCATTCTGCTTATCTCTACTCTTTTTTCATGATACTTGCCACTCTGGTTTTATGAAGATATTTATAGGACTCCAGACCCCCACTAGAATGCAAGCTCCATAAAAATACACACTTTGCTTCGCTTTGCTTTAGCACATAGTTCTAGCTTTAGCACATAGAATAAAGTTCTAGCTTTAGCACATAGGATAGTGTCTTGAAACACTGTAACTCCTGATCAAAATGTGCTGAATGAACAGATTACTAACATCTGTCAAGTTATTATATGCCAGGACCTCTAAGTTAAGTAAGTGACTTGTTCAGACAACTCAGATATAGCAAGCCCTTAGAATTTTAAGTCAACTAGGCCAACTCTGGCTCCGAGCCTCTGTACTTTCTGCTTACACTGTTAGGTTAAAAACGTATGAATCAGAAGTAAATATTCTTGTTTTAATGAGTGTTCCTTGCTTTCTTCTCTTCCTGTTATTCTTTCCATTGTTCAATCACATGCCAAAAGGGCCAGAGTACAGTGAATAAGGTGCCTGCCTTGAATTCACCCAACTTGGGTTCAATCCCTGGCATCACATATGGTGTCCTGAGCCCCACCCGGAGTAATCACTAAGAATAAATGACAATTTTTTTAAAAAAAACTAAATATTTTATTGTTCCTTACATATTTATTAACATTTGTGATCAGGATACAACACATGGAATTAAAACACCCAACATAACAGATGTTTCTTAGCAAGCTCACTTTCAGGCAGAGGGACACCCAAGCAAAAAATAGCAGCAAAGAAAAAGCAAAGGTCCTGATGTATTTTCTGTGTAGACCTTGATTCTTTAGGCTGACTGACAGGGGTTACATGCTGAGGTCCCAGCCACAGAACTTTTGTTTTTCACCATTTCTCTCTATATATTCACTAAGGTTGTTGTAAATTTAACATTGATAAACGTTACAGTGTAGAAAGTTTTCTGTTCAGACAATTTTAATGTAAAGTTTCACAAAGTTTTGTCCTCTGTGGAATTGTTAATACTCTTCCAGCCCTAGAGTTTTCTGTATGCATTTCTGATTTTCAGACTTTTTTTTTTTGAGTTGTCTGCAAGTGAACCTCGGCCTTCTGCAGGCAGGTCTTGCACTCTACCACTGAGCAGCAGTCTCACCTCCTCCCCTCAGACAAAATTTTAAAGATCTTACATAACTCACCATCTTGGAGAGCCCGGCGAGCTACTGAGAGTATCTCGCCTGCACGGAAAAGCTTGGCAAGCTACCCATGATGTAGTCAATATGCCAAACACAGTAACAACAAGTCTCACGATGAAGACGTTACTGGGCCTGCTCAAGCAAATTGATGAACAACGGGAAGACTGTGACTGTGGCCGTGACATAACCCACATGTAAAGAAAGAACATGCATCAGGAATTCTTTCCTAATTAATGAATTTTGGATGAATCAAGGCCCCTTAGCTCATTTACAAAATGTTAGCTGAAGTACCTACAGTATAGTAATTGGTGCTATAGCAGGTATATTCTTAAAGGAGCAACTTTGATAAAAATGTAGTAACATTCAAGTACAACCAAATACTAGTCTGTGATATTATATCACAGTCTTTTCATTAAGTCTACAATTCAGAAACAATGCCCTAAAATAGTTTTAGTAATTATTTGCACCTTTAAAATAAAAAGCTCTCTGATAGTATTATTTAAGTAGAACAGTCCTATTATTCACAGAAATTCCTCCTCTTCATAGTATACTTAACAGAGATGGTCATATATTACCAAAAGACATAAGAATGCTCTTAACAGTTTGTCAGACACTAGCTCTGCATCAGACACCAAGGTTCAAATTTGGCCAGCCAGAAGCAGCAGTGGAGAGCCTCAGTTATGTCTGACATGCCTTTATTTTAGCCAAAGCCATGTGGTAGGGCCAGGCTGACATTATGCAAGGGAGTAAAGAAAGCCTGGATAGGGCCAGAGATCCCACTCACCCTGCACACCACTCACTATGGTTATGTAACAGTTACATAATAAGCTTTGCTAAATCTTGCCTGACTGAAAGTCAGGGCTGGTTTGAACCTAGGCCTAGAGGTGAGCACCCTAACTGACCAGAATCTCTACAAGTTCAATTTGCAGTAAGTAAAAACTATAAACTGCCCCAAACATACAACGTAAATTGTACTATAGTCACTCCAAATCAGATAATAACTACCAAGAGCAAGTAGTAAGTGTGTGTCCCGACATGGCTGAATTTCACAAATATGATACTGAGTAAAGCCAGAGGCACCGTGCACAGACTCTCTGACTGCATCTAAATAAAATTGAAAAAGAAGCAAGACTAATCTTAATGTCATAAGTTAAAATACTGGTATTTTAGGGTGTACAGTGAACAAAAGGTGATAGAGGAAGGCTTCTGAGATTTTGATAACATCTGTTTCGTGCACTGAATTACATGAACATATGCAGTTGGTAAAAATTTATCATGCTTTATTGGTATGCTTTAGTGCTTTTCTTAATGTATGTTATTTCTTTAATAATGCCCCCCACCCCCGCAATGTTACAGTTCTCTTCACTCTCCCTGTAGTCAGGCTACTTGCTTTTTTGCTTTGTATATCATTCCCACCAAGGCCAAGCACACCAAGACACCATCAAATTGAAGCCTTAATAATCTTTCTTTCTGTGGACATGTCAGTAGTGAGTTTTGCTGCAAAGCACTCTTAGAATCCAATGTTTTCTTTGACTGTAATTAGCTCATTGGTGCCATATGTTCCACAGGGCATTAAGACAACATTTTTAAGTGGCAAAATACTGAAAGAGGTATTTGATGGTAATGCAGTAAATAGCTTGCCTTTATTTTCCAAAAACAACCTGCAGCCACATACTGAATTCCATTTTGAAATGTCATCGATGCTTGAAGGGGAAAAAACCTACTAACTGACAACTATTATTTATAAAAGACCTTATAAAGGTATTAAAGATGTCGAGAATGTTTTATCTACTAACCTGAAACCTGTCTCAGAAGTAAAAATGGCTGCAGGCTTGACATGCATTTCGCCTAATTAGTTGCATTTGAGGGCACCTGGGCCATGACTACGTGTGAAATTAGTGAGATGTATAACTCATGGGATAACTGAAAAAACCCACCAGGCAGGAAGATGGATGGATGGAAGATTTTCTGTGCCACCAAGTGTTAGCTAATGATCAGGTAAACCCGTCTGAGTAAAACAAAATCTAGAATTGTTGCAGTCAATCTCTGACCCTCCAGCTTCTAACAAGAGCAGCCATTAGCTTACTGAGGCTGCCTCAAGAAAAGAGACCAGCTGCAGAGTCCCTGGGAGGTCCCATCCTCACTCTTGCTCTTCATGTAAATAGCTCATTAGTCAGTGGCACCTACTATAGAGAAACTGGTGTGGGACACAGCTAGAATTCAAATCATATTTGCTAGTAAAACTGAGGTACTTGCTAAGTTCAAGGCCTAAACTCATAACCCTTTCACAATTATGCTTCCAAACTTTTTTTTTTCTTTTTGGTTTACATTACACAAAGCAATGCTCAGGGGTTACTCCTAGCTCTGCACTCAGGAATTACTCATGGTGGTGCTTGGGGGACCATACGGGATTCCGGGGATCGAACCCAGGTTGGTTGTGTGCAAGGCAAATGCCCTACCTGCTGTACTCCAGCCCACTTCCAAACTTTCTAACAGCTAATTTTGCCAGTCATACTGGAAGGAGAAATTGGACCATGGGCAAGGCTAAGGAAATAATGACAATCCATAACTGTCTGTTCAGATCCTCTTTAGAGACTTAACCATTCAGTGAGAGTCAGAGTTCCCTGTGACAAGCACCTACTGGGTTTACCATGTCCCCTAGGGATTCTGCTCTCCAGTACATTACCTTCCAAATTATCCATCTAAGTAGCTATTCTTAATACATCTGCATGATATTCATATATACACACACTATGACCAAAAAAAAAAAAAACCAGAGAGAGATTTCTGAAGACAGCAGAAGTCAGAGTCAGAGTTAGGCTTACGGTTTAATTTTACTTCAACTGACTTCCACAGGAAGCACAGAAAGTCCTTTAAAAATAACCTTTTTTTTTCTAGTTCTTAGTTGCAACTTGTAGCCTACATGGTATCTTGTTTTGCATTTCTTTATTTATCCACTAAGAACTGTGTCAGTATTCATTCATTATTCTTTATTAAATAGTCATAATTGGATAGTATAATGATAAACAAAAGTTTTCTTAAAGGTTGTTACAAGCTGAGTAACATAATACTGCATCTGTTACAAATTGAGTTCACTTAGTTATCATACATTTTAGATTTTAAATGCTGTACTTATGGATTAAATTTGTTTTATGTATAGTTTGCAATTTACATTCCCTTATGAAGCAATATAGTATATAACTTTCATGAAAAACATATATACATATACACACGTGACTTAAAGATTTTCAAAGTTATACACACAAAATCAGTGGATGTAGAATTAAAGTACATTACACACAAAATAAAAAGAACTATAGCATAAAATAAAGTATATACTCTGCACATAAACGTGAAAAATGTACAGAGCAATCACTACATCCCTAGGATGTTTGCTTTTTCCATTTTATTCCTTAAAATTAAAGCTCAATGTCCTCTGTACTATAATTTTGGGGGCGTTGGGCTACATCCAGCGGTGATCAAGGATAACCCTTGTCTCTGTGCTCAAGAATTCCTCCCGGAAATACTCAGGAAACATATGGGATGTCAGGATTGAACCCAGGTTGACCACTCACAATGCAATCACCCTACTGGCTGTACTATCGCTCTGCCTTCTCTTCACCATATTCTTTTTTAATTGCATTTTATTTATTTATTTTTCAACATTTTTATTATTTATTCATTTATTTTTAAAAATTTTTATTAGTAAAACTGAGGTACAGTTGTAGACTTACAAATCTTTGTGCTTGGGTTTCAGTTATACAATGATCGAATACCCATTCCTCCACCAGTACCTATTCTCCACCACCAATGGTCCCAGTATCCCTCCCACCCCCCATACCCCCTAACCCACCCGGCCTCTGTGGCAGGGCATTCCCTTTTGTTATCTCTCTCCTTTTGAGTGCTGTGGTCTTCAAAAGAGACATTGAGTGGCAATCATGTTCGCTCTATAGTCTACTCTCATCACTCATCTCCTATCCTGGGAGGAACTTCCCAACACCCTTTACTTGGTGCTCCCTTCTCTATCTGAGTTGCCTTTCCCCCTAGTGTGTGCGGCTGGCCTCCAAGCCATGAAGTAACCCTCCTGGTAATTATCTCGGCTATTTTTGGGTGTTAGTCTCCTATTTTGTTACTTTATGTTCCCCAGATGAATGTAATCTTTCTATGTCTGTCCCTCTCTTTCTGACACATTCCACTTAGCATGATACTTTCCATTTAGTACCACTTGTATATAAATTTCATGACTTTATCTTTTCTAACAGCTGCATTGTGTAGATGTACCAAAGTTTCTTTAACCAGTCGTCTGTTTTCCGGAACTCAGGTTTTTTTCCAGATTCTAGCTACTGTAAACAGTGCTGCATTGCAGGCTATAAAATCAATACCCAAAAGTCCAAGGCTTTCCTATACGCAAATAGTAAGAGAGAAGAAAGTGACATGAAAAAAATAATCCCGTTCACAATTGTGCCCCAGAAAATCAAGTACCTAGGAATCAGCTTAACTAAGGAAGTAAAGGACCTGTACAAAGAAAACTACAAAACGCTACTTCAGGAAATAAAAGAGGACATGAGGAAATGGAAAGATATCCCCTGCTCATGAATTGGGAGAATTAACATTGTCAAAATGACAATACTTCCCAAAGCATTGTACAAATTCAATGCGATCCCTATAACAATACCCATCACATTCTTCAAACAAATGCTTCAGCAAACACTCCTGAAATTCATATGGAACAATAAGCACCCACAAATAGCTAAAGCAATTCTTGGGAAAAAGAAAATGGGAGAATCAACTTCCCTAACTTCAAACTCTACTACAACACAATAATAATTAAAACAGCATGGTATTGGAACAAAGGCAGAGCTGCATACCAATGGAACAAGGTTGAATATACTGACATCTCCCACCAAGCATATGATCATCTAGTCTTTGATAAGGGGGCAAGAAATGTGAAGTGGAGCAAGGAAAACCTCTTTAAAAAATTGTGCTGGCAAAACTGGACGGCTATATGCAAAAAAGTGGGCTCAGATTTTTCCCTAAGATCATGTACAAAAGTAAGATCAAAATGGATTAAAGACCTCAACATCAGACCAGAATCCATAAGGTACATTGAAGACAAAGTTGGCAAAACCCTCCATGACACTGAAGCTAATGGTATCCTCAAAGATGTCATGCCACTGGCCAAGCAAGTGAAAACAGAGATAGACAAATGGGACTACCTTAAACTAAGAAGCTTCTTCACCTCCAAAGAAACAGTGACCAAAATCCAAAGACAGTCTACAGAATGGGAAAGGATATTCGCTGAGTATACATCCGACAAGGGGTTGATATCAAGGATATACAAAGTACTATATTCTTAACTTAACCTACCAACTATTTCAGTGGTCTTTAATTTTAAAAAATACATTATCTTTTTACTTTGAATAATACTTAAATATTAAAAAATTATATGTTTAGCACAGAATATATATTTATATGCTAATAAAAAAACTTGCTCAAATAAGGTCCCTGTGAAAAGATTCACCAAAATTGTGCTAAATCAGGACAGATTAAGAATACAATCTCTAGCACATTCATTTAGCTCTTGCTATATAGGATAGACAAAAAAAAATGGCTATAAAATTCCATATATCCCAAGTTATAGCACTGTATAGCACTGTCCTCCCGTTGTTCATTCGATTTGCTCGAGCGGGCACCATTGTGACGTCTCCATTGTGAGCCTTGTGGTTACTCTTTTTGGCATATCGAATACATCATGGATAGCTTGCCAGTCTTCGCCATATGGGCAGAATACTCTCAGTAGCTTTCCAGGTTCTCCAAGAGGGGCAGAAGAATTGAACCCAGGTGAGCCATGTGCAAGGCAAACGGCCTACTCACTGTTCTATTGCTCTGGCCCTGTGCTATCCCAAGTTTATCAACAGTTGATTCTTTAAAATATCACTTCAGAATCTCAGACTATAATTTCCTTAATTCCTATTTTCCACATATTTTAATGTTCCTGAAATCTGTATTAACCTATTTATTCTATACATATATTATCCTGAATTATCCCATATGTATATTTTATGGGTAGTTTCCCATTTTCAAAATAAGAGTTACATGAAATTTTAAGTATTGCAGGTGATGGATATTTATAATTATGGAAATATAGTAAATATTATATCATACAACCAAACAACTCTTAAGTACTTTATTAATTTACAATTTCTTCTGGTAATACTTTCTAAGGTTACTCTTCACTCTACCCAGATGGAGACCTTCAATTTCCTAAAACAAAGAAATGCCATAGTTCTGGAACTAATCAATTTTCAAACACTTTTGTCTATGGTAGCAACACATTCCATATTATTTTATCACTCCCTCATATGAAGACAACAGAGAGTGATTTAGAGATTACAAAGTAAGATAATAAAGACAAAGAAAAATGTATTGAAAAAATAATGAGATTAGTTGCCAAATTCACAGTCTGAATTATCTGCTGTAAAGAAACTCGGATGAGATGACATACTGTTTTTCTTAGCATTGGCCAATATATGTGCTTGGCCAGATACAAGCAATACTCCAGAAATGATGCATGCAAAACTTTTGGCAGAAAAAATCCTCTGATGGCCTGGAACGTATTTAAACATTAGAAAGTTAGAACTTAGAGTCCACTTGACATAATTTGCCCCCAAATCTACTTTCGATAAGAAGAAAATCTTGTTCACTTATCTTGATTTACAAGCACACTTCAAGGAAAGAGATTATCAACAATGTTTTGTCATGTATATATTCATCTTGTTAACAAAACCTTTATAGAGGCATTTAAAAATATAGAAAATTTCATTTAAAATCTCTACAACCTCA